CGAAAAAAATTCATCAATATGAGAATAGAAGAAATGATTGTAAATTTATTTTAACAATGATAATTAATTAATTTTATGAATTTATTTTATAATAGTTAAAGAACAAAAAAAAATTTTTTCATTGGCTGCAGTGTTCATAAGTGAAATACAACTAAAATAATCTCTATCAGAAAATTAAATCTTTATTCTGCTATATTAAAAGTTTGGAAAAAATCCATCTCTAACAATTTTTTATAATAGGTTCGGAATTTCTCAAAAAGGATTACATAAAACTTTCAAAAAGTAATTAATTTTCAATATTAAATTTTTCTTAAAAAATGAAAAAATTTTTTTTCCCTTCTACCAGAATCGGGCACAAGTTAAATTCTTATAAAAAATATTTTTCACGGTGAAAACAATCCACAAAAAACTTTTGAGCATAAAAAAGTGGGGTTTTTGAGTAATTTCAATTTTTTTTTAAATGGCCGCCATTTTGTTATTTTTGAACATTTTTTAATTTTTCCAACGGATTTTGAAAGAAAAATTAAAGCTCTTTTAAATGCAAAAAGAAAAAATGAGATAGTATCTAAATTACTTATAATAAACTCAAGAGGCAGAAACAAGAAATATAAACACAAAACAAACAATAAAAATAAATAAATAATATTAATAATAAAAATAAAAAAAATTCAAAAACTAATCATAAAAATAAATAAATATTAATAATAAAAATCAAAAGGAAGAATAAAAAAATTTCTATTCCACTATATATGCTTTTGCAATGAACCTCTTTTTACTTTTCTAGGAAAATTGTAAAAAGTGTCAAACTATTTCACAAATTCCATTTCAATGTATATGTTTCTCATTTGTAGTAAAACAGTTTCAGGGGAGAATGTGAAAAGTCCTATACGAAGCCAACTGGAAACTCTCCAATAACTTTAAAGTTTAGATCCTTCCTAACTGGACGAAAGTGAAATTCGTGTATATGTAGATATGTAGAAAACTATACCAAACGATCATGCATAAATGTCCCATGAACTTTCAATGTGTATATTTAAACTTTTAAATTATATTATTTATCACCAAAGAAGTATAAAGAACTCCTTTTCAACTTTAATATTACTTTTAAGCTCAAGTAACTTTGAAATTCACCCTTGTAATTGCGACTTTTATTACCGTTATCAGCCAACCTGCTGCACATGTTAAAAAGAAAAATTACATTTCATTTAGACATGTATTTTTCATATCAAATTGAAAATTGCTTCCATATAATTGCGGATGTATCTATATGTATATATCATTTTTCTGATTATGAAAATTATAATTTTTAAAAATTATATATTTTTTATTTACTAAAAAATAAAAGGAGGTGCATGAATATTTTACAAATCTGATTTTAGTTCAAAATTTTCATTGGCAATCGAATATTAAACTGAATTTTTTTTGAACCGAATTTTTTATCACAAATTAATTAAGAATTTATTTTTTAATTTAAACTGATTTACAAAAAATTTCTGATAAAAATTTATATTTAAGTATATTAAAGTAAAAATCTGTATTGATCCTACTATTTAAATTATACTCGATAAAATCGACTTTATGTATTTCGATTAAAAAATCAAACTAATGATTTTTACATAAAATATTCGTACGTTCAATTAATTAAATTATTTACCTATTCATTGAACAGAAAATATAAATTTACGCTCTCAATAATCAGAGATCAATATATGTAAGAAAAAGATTAAAAAAGTCTCTTTTTCAGCATAATAGTTTTTTTTTAAATTTAGAACATTTATACATGACCAATTAACAATTGGAAAAAAAAAATTTTAATTTTTAAAAATTATTTATTTAAGTCCATATACATTTTGCATATGATCAATAAAATTTGTTCCTATTAAAATATTTTAAAACTGAACAGATTTAACAGACCTTGATGGTTTATTTTCTTCAAAAAATAATTCGTACCATCAGCATCGCTGGGATTTTTAAACAAGTACACCGTTTTTTAAATATGGTTATTTTGTTTAAAAAATAATTTTCACTTTTTTAAAACAAATAACCATTAAAAACAGTGCACTTGTTTAAAAATCCCAGCGATGCTGATGGTACAAATTATTTTCTAAAGAAAATCTCTGTTATAAATCTGATCATTTTTACAAAATTTTAAGGAAAGCGATATGAAAAATATTTTAATCATATATGCAAAATGTATAAATAAATAATTTTTGTAAAGACATTTGTACATCTCACAAATTTTGAGTATACTCAGAATTTTTCAAAAATTTTACTAATTTTGATTCGATTTGCTCATAGGGAATTTTCAAATGATTGGAAGAATTTTTGAAATTCTTTATGAACAAAGCCAATCAAAATTAGTGAAACCTCTGACAAATTCCAGGTATACTGAGAATTTGTGAGATGTACCTTAAGTTTCAAATTTCTTTTTCTTAAAAATTTATATCTGTTCTTTCAGCGAATATTACTATAATAAATTTTTGAAGGTCAATTAAATATTTTTATCTTGAGGTTTGCATTCTTGGGTTTAAACATTTTTTAAATGCAATACCTCTAATTAAATATTTTAAGGGAACTTGCTTCTATAACGAACAATTCTGAAATGATGCTTCAACTCATTGGACGATGCGGTATATGAAATGAGGTTGACGTTACATTACAACACAGCTCTATAATTCCGGGCAAATGAAGCGACCCGAGCTAAATATCGCAAAAGCCTTGTTTTCCACCCTCTCAGAGTTGCAACCTCAGCTGCCACTTTACAATAAAGATACACAAGTTACCCTACAGGGATCATTTAACCCCCCCCCCCCCCCCAGTCTCAGACATATCGCTATTCTGTGCAAATAAAGTGCTTTTTCTGCAAAACTTCTTAAAGAAATCCACTACACACTCGAGTACACTTTCTAAGAATACTTTTTATTTGCGCATGTACATTTGTTTAGTAATTCGTGACACAGAAAAAACATCGTATCAATTTTAGTTTTTGTACAGTTCTTAATTTGAAAAGCTTCAGAAATGAAATTCTTCATTTGGAATTACGCTAAAAGAACACCGCACCATTTACATGAGAATTTGGGGTCCGGTGAAATTTTCTGCAACTTTGAACTTTTGTAGTTTTTGACCTCCTGAACAAAAAATGTAAATGGCAAAATTCCAAAAAATGGACAGATTTTTTAAAAATTGAGGTTTAAGTTTAAAAAATAATGTTAAAAGCGAAAAAAAATTCAAAAATGAGTAAAACCAAAACAACTAAACAAACTTTCTTAAAACTCGTTAAAAAAATAATTTTTAAACCTTTTTTCGCCAGTCTGCATCCGGTATTTTGAATTTTAAAAAACTATCATTGAATTCGTAATTAGCGACCCCGAAAACCCCCGAGTAACAAGATTTAAGGGAATTCAATGTATTTAAAAAATCTTCGGCCATTTTGGATCCGCCATTTTGGATTTTCAAAAATTGACATCGAATTCGTAATGAGCGACCCCAAAAACCCTTGAGTAGCGAATTTTAAGACAGTTTGTTTACTTCTTTTGGTTTTACTCATTTTTGAATTTTTTTCGCTTGTAACACTATTTTTTAAACTTAAACCTCAATTTTTAAAAAATCTGTCCATTTTGAATTTTGCCATTTACATTTTTTGTTCAGGAGGTCAAAAACTACAAACTTATAAAGTTGCAGAAAATTTCACCGGACCCCAAATTCCCATGTAAATGGTGCGGGGTTCTTTATCAAAATGAAACAGGAAAGATTCATTTTGACGTTTGAGAATAAGAAAACCCAGATAGCACGTAAGCTTGCAGCAAGCTTGCCGCGCAATATTGCCAACCTTGCACGGAAAACTTGCCGCAAGCTTCAAATTTCCCACTTGACCCAAGCTTACATGGTAAGCTTATCAAAAGATTGCAGTGTAAGGTTACTGCAAGATTGCACAATAAGCTTACTGAGCAATCTTGCGATAATCTTATTGTGCAATCTTGCAGTAATCTTACACTGCAATCTTTTGGTAAGCTTACCATGCAAGCTTGGGTCAGGTGGGTAATTTGAAGCTTGCGGCGAGTTTGCCGTGCAAGGTTGGCAATATTGCGCGGCAAGCTTGCTGCAAACTTACGTGCTATCTGAGAAAGGGGAAAATTTTGTCAACGAATAATTTTGCAAAAATACGCAAAATATAATAATTACCTGCCGTAAATAACATACTAGACTTAATTTATTTTATTGAAAACTGCTTGTAATTGCGTAATAAAGTGAAATATGTTTTGAGGTTAGAAAAATGAAAACATTTGTTTTGCACAACGGAAACGTTACTGCCAACTTAAATAATGGCACTAAATTGCAAAACTTATAAAATCTAATTACTATTTAAATGAATAATCACAACATATTGACGGTGCGTTTACAATTCACATATTTTTAATTATTTAAAATTATTTTTTTATCCAAATAATTATTGAAACCACAATCAATCACAAAATAATTATACAATTGAAATAACAATGACGTACAAAAATAATAGATATTAAACTGCAGACGACAAAAAACTGATAACAGTTACCAGAGTTCGAAATGTAAATTACTATGTGCAATTTATAGTAAAACGTCCAAAATGTGACATCTTTTTCGGGTAAGTTTTTTTTAAAGGCGTTTACACACCTTACTAGTTTTTGATGAACAAAAAAAAAAAAAATAAATGTAATTTTTTGTCTACAGTTTAATATCTATTATTTCTGTACATCATTATTTCAAATGCATAATTATTTTATGATTGATGGTGATTTTAATAATCGTTTGGATTAAAAAAATAATTTTAAATATTCAAAAATATCCAAATTGTAAACTCACCTTTAATAGATTGTGAAAACCACCAAAACATATTATTATCAAAATGTTGCATAATATTATCCAAATTTTAGAATCAAATTAATACCTTTAGGAAAACTGTGTTAATTAATGTAAAATTGTGTTGCATGAAAATAAAAGAAAAATTTTAATTTACTCACCCTGAATGGTACCACTGTAGGAATGTGTAGAGTCAAATTTTATTGGTCCATTAGTACCTTCAAAAACAGCATCCTTCGCGAAAAGATCTGAATCGCGAGTCAATCTCATTGTCCATTGTCTGTAATAAGAAGTTAAAAAAAAAAATTATTTAAAAGTAATGTACTAAAAAAAAACAAATATTCACAAAGTAAAAAAAATTATTTTCTTTTTCTCAATAATTGTCTCGATATATTGATTAAACAATCATTTTAACAAGATAAAAAGCGTTATTGAACTTTTCGAAATTTCCACTAGAATTATATATACTCGGTTAAGGAAAGGAAACCTTAGAAAAATAAAAGAGAGGCATAAATGGCTTCGGCCATGGACACGTGGAAGAATTTCTTGCATTCGTAAGCTCTAAGAGCTTATACGCAAAGCTTTTATACTTGTTTCTCCAGTATCTTTCCGTCCCGTGAGAAACTATCCCTTTTCCGGTTTATCCCTCATCCACGCCGGAAGAAGTTAAAGGTAAAATATTCCACCTGGGTCTCATGTTGGAATCTGTTCTCATATATTAATAAAATACATATTCCTCCATCCAGTTTAATTTCATGAAAATTCAAGACGTGAAACTAAATTATTATTAATTTAAATTAATTATTTATATAATTGAATATAATTTATCTTTATATTTCACTAAAAAAAAAAAAAAAATGTCAAAAAGAGAAATTAAACCATTTTCTCTATGACACTTTACAAAGTAACCATTAAAAAATAATTACGCACCAACTCTAAATTTTTCATCTTAAATTTCTCTTTTAAATTCTAAAGATAAAACAATGAATAATTTACATTCCCCTTATACACACTACTTCAAGTTAAGCCGTGTCAAATGGTTTCTCGTCCTCTTTTGCACCTTTAATCACATTCTCAAGTGTCTTGACACTTAACACTTTAGATGTCTCAAGTTAAATAAAAAAAAAAAAAAAAAAATAAGACAATTTTTTTTTATTGTAAAATTTACGCGCAATCAATTTTCTTTTATGAACAATTGTTAAATTTTCCCAGGGAATTTTTGATTAAATTAGCCGCGTGATCTGGATTGATTTTCTTGAAAGAGAGAGAGATATAGAGGGAGTGAGAAATTCTCAACGTTCAACTTATTCTAGGAAGTACAAAGCATTAATCACTTTAACACCCCTACAAGTGAACTTAGATAATTCACTTGTAGAGAGATAATAAATTAAACGCTCAACACTCAGTCAACTATTTATTTTTAAGAACAATTTTTATTTCAATCATGCACGAGATATTAATAATAAAGATAATGAAGAAAAATGGATCTATCATATATGTGATTTGTACGCGAATCACAACGATAATTTTTGGAAAAAACAATTATAACTTTTATCATCGCAAAACAAATCAACTTAGGGAAAAAAAAAGTAACGCAATTAAATATCCTAAAGTGATGGACGTTGTAAAGCAAATTAACCAGATAAGCCTCCAATGTCACAATTTTTATTCTATTAGTGTTTTAAAGCCACTGAATTGAATCATTGAAAAGTGAGTCTAGGTTATGTGAAAACTTACCTATAATTCGAAACTAATTTAAAAAGTCATTTAGCTACTTAATTTTTTAATAACAATAACAATTTAAAGTATTTTTTTCCCTCTAAATTTTAGATAAACGACGTTTCAGCCTGCCTGATTTGAAATATTCTTTTAAAAAAGTTATAAATAAAAATTATATTTATTATTAAAATTAAAAAAAAAATAGTAATGATTTTTTTTTTAACTTTTTTTGGACGATTTTACATTTTTAACGTTTAAGAATGTGCTTGTTGTATAATCTGTAAGTCTGATCAAAAGCAGAATTTAACAAGTGAAATCTTAGAGCGCGTGAAGACAATTAACAATGCACTCATGCTAAGTAAATTCATGTTAGACGAAAGTACGACGAAATCGAGTTAGTATACTTAGAACATATAAGGCAAACATATAACATCCGACAGCTCCACTTTGACCTTTTTGCTCTTTAAAGTTTACAACTTCTTGAAAGTGCGCTTACAATTTCTACTCTCCTCTTATTTTTATTACATCTATTTAGCTTTGACAATTTTCCAGCTCCTATATATATATAAATTTATATTATCGTATACAGACAAATGTTTTTTTGCGAAAAACATAGCATGCAAAAGACCGATATCACCGAAATAACATTAGGCTCAGTTTTCCGTGCACTATACACAGACACGATTTTTAATTTTTCAAAAAAAAAAAAATAATTTCCTTTTTTTTCTTCTTTTTTCAAAACAAAAATTTTATGTAAAAAATAATGCTAAAATCCGTAACGATTAGAAAACAAATTATTTTTTAAAACAGGAAATTTTTTATCTAAAAAATGTATTTTTTTACCGTCATATAATGGTTATAATTATTGAATAAAAAATTCCCTGGAAATGGCCACTGAAAATTGTTACGGAAATTTCGATAAACTTTTTTCATATAATTTAGCAGAAAAAGTCGGTATTTCAATAGAACTGAATTAAAATTATTGTCTTTATTACTTAAGAGTGTCAAACGGTCTCTGAAATTCTTAGGCATTTAATTATCGTCCTATAAAAATATTTTTTCAAAATCGGACAAAATACAAAGGATCCTTATGTTAAGAACTTCCTAAATTCGAAAGATTGTGTTAATCCATACAGATTTTATAAAAAGGAATTCAAATTTATATATTTTTACGTGTAGATTACAAAAAAAATATAGCGAGGACGATTAGAGTTGATGGTCCTGGTGCTGTCAGGAAAGAACTGAAAAAATCATGAATTTTCTCCCAAAAACGAAGAAAATTTTATCTAAAGGGCTTCAAATTTATTCATTTTTACGAATTTTTGTGTGTATATTATAGAAATAATTTTAAAAATTTTCAAAATTCAAAATGGCGGATCCAATATGGCGGACAATTTTTTTTAAATTGATCATATCCGCTCGAAACTGGTTACTCAGGGGTTTTCGGGGTCGCTGATTACGAATCCAATGCCAGTTTTTCAAAATTCAAAATGGCGGATCCAATATAGCGGACAATTTTGTTAAAATTGATCAAATTGATCACAGACACACACACACACACACACACAAAAGCGCCATTTTGAATTATAAAAATCCAAAGTCATATTCATAAACAGCGACATCAAAAACACCGTAGTAACAAGTTTCAAGCAAATCCGAACAATTTTTTATTTTGTCATCCGCCATTTTGAATTTTGAAAGTCCAACGTCATATTCGTAATCAGCGACCTCAAAAACCCCCAAATAACAAGTTTTAAGCAAATCCGATCAATTTTTCATTTTGTCATCCGCCATATTGGATCCGCCATTTTGAATTTTGATAATCCAACATCATATTCGTAACGAGCGACTCAAAAACCCCCCGAGTAACAAGTTTCAAGCCATTCCTATAAATTTTTCATTTTCTTATCCGCCATTTTGAATTTTTCATTTTCTTATCCGCCATATTGGATCCGCCATTTTGAATTTTTCATTTTCTTATCCGCCATATTGGATCCGCCATTTTGAATTTTGAAAATCTAACGTCATATTCGTAATCAGCGCCTCCAAAAACCCACGAGTTACAAGTTTCAAGGAAATCCGATCAATTTTTCATTTTGTCATCCGCCAATTTGAATGTTGAAAATCTGATGCCAGATTCGTAATCAGCGACCCCGAAAACTTTATAGACATTATTGTTAGGTTATTTCCTATTGTTGTTTAGTCACAATTACATTTATTGTAAAAAAAATGCTATTTTTAAACTTAATTTGTTTACAACATTTATTTTATTTATAAAAAACACTTTTTTATTGTAGTTATATTGTAATAGATATTCTAAAATACATTTTAAATACATTTTGTTACTGAAATGTGTAAAATAGTGGCTGAAGTATTCAAAAAAGTGCAAGAAAAAAGGTGACACTCAGGAGTGTCATTATGCCGCAAAGGGTTAAAAGGACTTTTTTCTGTAAAAATTATATGCATTAATTTTTATTAAAAAACATTATAATTAAATATATTAAAAATAATAAATTTAACGCTTATAATTTTTTTTACTGTTTTCTAAACATTTTCTTATAATAATGCATTTTAAATGAAAGCGCCTTTTTCTACCAATGAGAGAGTAGTAGTAGCGCAAGCGCAGTTGCGTTTGGTAACGGTTATTGATAATTAAACAGATTCCTAACCTAAAAGTTTTGTTTGTTTACTTTTATAAATAGTACAAATAAAACGACTGTAAGTAATAAACAGAATAATTTTAATTCAGTTAAGCTATGAAAAACTGAGTTTTTATGCTAAGTTATATGGAAAAAAATTCTTGTTGATATTTCCAACAGAAATTTCCGCAATAGTTTCCAGTGGTTAATTCTCGAAAACTTTTTCACGTGAAATAGGGTAAAAGGTACAGTGACCGACACCCTGACAGTGAACGACACCTGCTATTAAAAATGATAATAACTATATAGAAATAATAATATTTAATTAAATATCACTAGTAAATTAATTAATATACAATATTTAGAAACTGATACAGTTGTCACAAAATTTTATATGTTTATATTTTCCTTAATATTTTACTTTCTAGAAAACTAATCTCAAAAAATTTGCTTTATTTATTACAAATTTTATAAATATGAAGAAATTTTTAAATAATTATATTTAAAAAGCAACTTCTTTTGTACATTAAGTCTGAATAATAAAATTTGTGATATTATTAATAAATATCATGTTACTTAAATAGTAGTTTAAGGGCCAGTTTCACCAACTCCGGTTAAAAGTTAATCAGCGATTAAATATACCTAATCGACCAATCATGAACGGTTAAATTGGCTTTAATCGTTGATTAACTTTTAATCGGAGTTGCGGTGAAACTGGCCCTAAATATTTTTCATTTTATTGATGGATGTCGTTCACTGTTTTCATACCATACATTTTTAAATTAATATTATAAACTCTTATCAAAATATTTTTTAATTTTAAACTTATGTACTATAAATTTTAACCCAAATCTTTTATTTGAAATTTATTTTATAACTAAATCTTTAATAAATTTTGATAAAATGTCATTTAAAGTTGAAA